CCTTGGCAGCTGTCTTGGGCCAAAGGAGATAATGGATGGAGGGCCGTGGGTCCCCGAGCAGCTTCCCATGTGACCCACCCAGAGCCAGGCCCTCCCAGCCTGGGCCCCAGTGGTGAGTTGGGGCTCAGACCTGGGGTGGGATGACGTAGTCGGCAACATCCCAGAGCCGCTCCCCGAGCTCCGAGGTGTTGGTGAAGGTCACACCCTTGACTTTGGTGATGATGCTGCTCTGCAGGGAGGTGTCTGTGTCTTGGTAACCCTTCTTTATCAGGAACACCCAGCTGTGGGGAGGGGGCAGCAGGTGGGCGTCAGCCTTGTTGCTGCCCTCAGGGAAGTTTCCCCAGGCCCAGGATGCAGTGGGGGCAGGCTTGGGACTCCACCCTTCCCACCAGCTCCTGGGCGGGGGGTCACAACTCCCACTGCTGCCTGAAACCCCATCCTGCAAGCAGCAGAGGTGACAAGAAAGCCCAAGGCAGAGACCGCTGCTCTCAGGACCTGAGGCCCTGCAGTTGGGCAGGTCTGTCCTGAAACCTGCTCACCCACGCACTGGCCATGTGACCTCGGGCAAGCTTATGAACCCTGGGGGTGAGCACAGGGTAACAGTGCCTTCCACCAGGGGTGTGAGGATGGTTAAAGATAGTGCATAACCTGAACTAACCACAAGGAGACCTCAGAAAATCCCACCTGAGGGTCATTCTACAAAACTAGAGTGCAAAATCCTGTGACACCGAAAACATAAGCAACAAAAGAAGATAGACAAGTTAGACTTCATCAAAATTAAAAATTTTTGTGCATCAAAGGCACTAACGAGAAAGTGAAAAGATAACCCACAGAATGGGAGAAAGTATTTATGAATCATATATCTGATAAGGGTCTGGTACCCAGAATACAGTCACACGTCAGTTAACGATGGGGATATGTTCCAAGAAATGCATCGTTATGCTATTTTGTCATTGTGCAAACATTGAAGGGAAGGAAGACTATCCTCTACCCACTCTGGGTCCTTTCTGGCTGGGCTACAAATTAAATTGACATGAGACCGAATAGCAGGAGAAAATCAAACAAAGCTTTATAACATGTACATGGGATAGACCAGGGAAACTGAGTTTCTCAACAAATGGTGGAGGTTTTCACCTTAAATAGCATATTCAGGTAGACAAAGGAGGATGTTGGGGGTGGGGGAGTCAGCTATGGGAGATTACCAGAAAGCACAGTGAACAAGAGTATGCAGATTTAAGTTCACATGGATAAGAGTTTCTAGAGATAAGGTCATCTCCCCTTCTTCCTGGTACAGAGAGGGAGATACCTTTACAAATGGAGATTTCCCTTATAAATGTAAATGTTTGGTCTTAGCAAGAACCCTCCCAGTCTATCAATAAAATAACCAAGGTAAAAAGACATATTTTGAGGTGATCAATTTTGATCTCCCACAGTCCCGCCTTTGAAACTAAGAAGTTTCACAGTCCTTTTGAAACTTAAGAAGTTTTGCAGTCCAGAAGCTGAGTTGGCAGATTGTGCCATCTCATTGAACACATTTCTTAGTCCTGATAATAGATCAGTCCAGTTAAGTTCATTTTAGGTGATGATGTTGGTGGGCTCCCACAGTTAGGCCTATATTGTGGAAGCAAGCAATCAGGTATTTAATAAGCATTTCTATGGAAACAAAAGAAAAACAAGGTTAATGGTTGGGGCAAATTATAAACCAGTTTTTGAGCTCAGAGGACAGCCAGCTAAGATTTCTAGATGTTAGCGTCAAAGCGTCTTTTGCAGCTTAAAATGTCTCTGATGATGTCATAGCTAATCTCTAAGTTTATATCAAGCCCTCCAGCTTCAGTTTGCAAGGCTTCAGGAAAAGGGCAGGTTCAGTTCTCAGTGATTCCAAATGAAAATGACAGAAAAAATCAAAAACATTAGTTTGGAGATTTGTAGCCAGATATTTCAGGAGACTGGAAGAATTCAATATCCAGTCCAGTTAACAGATATAAAACAAAAACCTCAAAGATAATTAATAAAACTAGGATCTAATATCCACAAATGTGTACTATAGTTTCCACTGAAATATAATTTTTCTCTCTAAAATCACCCTCATTCTTTGTAAAAGATAGCCAAATTGAGACTAACTGGTTTGCAAAATAAGCCTAGTTTCAATAAATTTGGCCCAATTATTTACATAAGAACAGCAAGAATAGCAATTGATCATATAAGCTCTTTTAAATCTGCTTTGCTGGAACTTTTTATAAGGAATCTCAGATTGAACTTCAAACGCCTCTCGAGGCCAGGAAAGCCAAGCCAAGCCAAGCCAAGGATTTTGTCATCAGACTTTGCCTGCAATACCCACAGATTTGGGTGAATTCCTCTCTTTTTCAAGGTTCCCCAAAATATTTTGAAGTTCCTTGCACCTGCCAGATAAGTGACATTCCTTACTTGTCCAGTAAGTGCTGCTTGGAACACTGAACATAAGGTACCAGGCCAATATTTCCACGTGGCTTTATTCTAGAAAGTCCAATATTTGTCAAATATAGTATTCCAGTCAAAGCTTTGGTAATATAACCAATGCTTCCAATTGTGTCCTGTTATAAGGAGAACAGATTCTTATTGAACTTATGTAAATAACTATATTGCCATGAAATAAGAATATTTACTTACTAAGAGTTTTCAAATTCTGGAGGGATCAGGTAGAGAGAAAAGATAAATATTTTAATTCTACTTACAAAAGTATAATTTACCAAATTGCCATAAGTCATAGCTAGCTCAGCAGAAAAGAGAAAAAGTTTTCCTTAAATCTGAAAAAACAAAACGTTAAGAAAAATCAGCAATATTTCAAACAAAAGTCATAAAAATTATAATCATCCTCATCAGTTCATTCAGTTCAGTGTAATCGATTCTTGATCTTAATCTTGTTAGCAGTTTTATGAGGTCAGTTTCTCCATTAGAGTTCTGTAATTTCTTATCCAGTTCAGTTTTATGATCTGAAAGTTTGTCAGAAACCTGTATTCCAGAGTAAACATTAGAGTCCTTTCCATGAACTTCTCTGAAGATGAAACATATTTGCAAAAGCATCAGAGTAAAACAATAACTATCTGTAAACAACAAAAGGCTTAAAAATGACAATTGACAAAGAAATTTGGTTATTTCTGTAACATACAGCACTTTAAGATAACTAGAATTATGACTGATAACCAGGACAGATCAGAATTCTAGAATGTTATATAATTTTTAAAACACTTAGATCAATAACATTTACCCACACAATATCGTAGGTCCCTATGAAACAATGCTCAGTTATCCATTTAACCAAGATGACAGTTAAAGATTTTTAGGCAAATGCAGAAAATTAAATAGCTGTAAAAAAAACCTTAGCACCTGTGATTAAAGACCTGATAAAAACAATATAGGAAATTTATTTGATCTTACTTTCCTTGAATACAAGCATATTTTCCTTATTAATTTCTAGTAGCTTTAATCACATATTAGAATTTTAACCCTCAGAAACCTTAATTTTTAAGTAAAAACTAGAAGTAAGCAATTATAAACTTTCTTTTATATTAGCATTTCGTGGCTTGGCCAATTTATAAACACTTTTCATAATTTCTAGAAACATGTTACTTTATAGTACAATCTTTTAATAAAACACAAGACATGTTTACCAATAGGCCCAAAACACCTTTTAGTTTTCCTGCAATAAGAAGCCAAAAGTAGACAAGCTTATATTTAGTAATTAATATCTAATATCTTATCTTACTTGAAAATGATCTAAATACTCAATGATTTTTTTATCATTTAATTTAACTTTGCAAAACTTCAAAGTTTTAAGTTACCAAAGAGATTTTGGAAGTTAATTTAAGTACACATGTCACAAACTATAAACCAGCTTTCAATTACCAGAGATTATTTCATATCACATTAACTTGAAAGACATGTAAGTGCTTACTTTAAGTCAATTAAACAGAGCTCTTGATTTTGGCCACCCAGAGGTAAAATATCACAATACATAACATACATATAGACACACATGAACACACAGATAGACATAGAGACGTGAAATTTTTGTTATGATTCAGATGTAATACTAAACCCATCAGTTTCTGAGAAACATCTGCATTCCAAAGAATGGCTCTCAGGTCCTAGAGAAGATGGGAGCAGGAAATCTGTATCATAAAGGCACAGAGAAACCACTCAAGTTTTCTCCAAGATAGAGTTCCTGGGGCATATCTGCCTTACCTCTAAGACAAAGACAGTTGCTTCCAGGTCCCCAAAGAACTGGATTACAATTTGAATGACAAAGTTGACCCACCCTTCCAGTTACTTTTTTTTTTTTCACTTATTTGTTTTATATCAGGGAAAATTTTAACTTAAGAAGTGAATCAAAAGATTTGTATGTGCTAAACTTTCAGGACACTGTATCACACCTTTAAAAGTTTGCACCTCTCTAAGTGTACAATTTAACCCTAGACCTTGACAGGGGGAAGCTCCCATTATCTTCTTTATTAGCATCTGATATTAGCCTCTAGTTTTTATCTCATATGGTGTGGCCTCAGGCAACCCTACTGACTTTCTTTTCCTAAATTTAATTAACACTGTCTGAAGGGTAGATTTATACACTCTCTTACAATCAGGCATGGGAAATGTTCCCTTTTCCCAGTGAGACACAATATCTATTCCCATAATACAATCTATAATACAATCAGGCAAAAAGAGATACAATCACTTCACATAAAAGCCCATAAATAAATCAGTGTTTCTAAAAAATTTCATCTGAATTCCATCACCTCTTATATCTCTAATCATAGTTTTCTTTAGGACTTTATCAGGGCCGGCCTGGTAGCACAGGCAGTTAAAGCGTGCACACTCAGCTGCGGTTCGGATCCTGGGCGTGCACCAACGCACCACTTGTCAAGCCATGCTGTGGCGGCGGCCCATATAAAGTGGAGGAAGATGGGCATGGATGTTAGCCCAGGGCCAGTCTTCCTCAGCAAAAAGAGGAGGATTGGCAGATGTTAGCTCAGGGCCGATCTTCCTCAAAAAAAAAAAAAAAAGAGGACTTTATCAATAGGTCTTGGTCTTATAATTTTGGACAAGGGAAGCATTCCCAGTCAGACATTTTATTTTATTTATTTATTTTTTTTTGTGAGGAAGATCAGCCCTGAGCTAACATCCATGCTAATCCTCCTCCTTTTGCTGAGGAAGACCTGCTCTGAGCTAACATCTATTGCCAATCCTCCTCCTTTTTTTCCCCAAAGCCCCAGTAGATAGTGGTATGCCATAGTTGCACATCCTTCTAGTTGCTGTATGTGGGACGCGGCCTCAGCATGGCCGGAGCAGCGGTGCGTCAGTGCACGCCCGGGATCCGAACCCGGGCTGCCAGTAGCAGAGCACACGCACTTAACCGCTAAGCCACGGGGCCGGCCCTACCAGTCAGACATTTTAAAACATACTCAGACAAAGTTGATACAACCTCTTTATATAAAATTAGCTTAAACATTCCAACCTTTATAATCTTATCAACACTTACACTTTCACATTTTTTAAAATTTAATTGTAACCTGAGTCTTAAGGCTAGTCTAATTTTTTTCCTTATTTCTTCTTCTTTTTTTTTTTTTAATTTGGCCTTTTCATGGGTACCAATAAAACAATTATGGTGAGAGCTCTCAAAAAATTTTTTTCCCCAATTTAGAATTTTTCCCAATTTAAATGATCCATTGTCTGGCCACATTGACGAGTAGGATCTTAATCTTAACAGCACTCATACCAAAGCTTAACCATGGACACACAAGGCGTCCCCAAAAGAGAATTCACTCCCCAAAATGAGAAAGCACAACAAGGAGACGACAAAGGCCCCTTACGAAACGGCAAATGGGACCCCTTATGACAAACCTGAGAGCAGACATAGCCAGACAAAGACCGTGTCCCTTGGAACCCCAGTTTACTTGACTGGCCACCAAGACGCGTGCCTGTACATGCATCCTCTGGATGGTGGAGACCAACGAGGTCACAAAGCCAAGCTCTCAAGACATAGAACAAGACAAAAGCCCAGATGATAGGCTTATATAGATGCCTGTGTCTTATGACCAATGACAAAAAAAGACAGAGACAAGGACTATTTCTGGGAGGAAAAGGATCACTTAACCAATGAGTACTCAACCAGATCCTAGAGTTGCTGAGTCCAAGAAGCTAGATTCACCAATATTTTCTCCTGCTAATCTAAATTTATAAAGAAAAAAAGTCACCGCTCTCATTTCCACTGGACCCTGCAGGCAGAGATCCAGGAGACTGACATGGTAAGAACTCTTTACCTCCTGCAGGTGCTTGTCAGGGGTCCAGGACCTCTCAGCTGCAATAGTCCAGGAGCGAAGAGCGTCCAGCCAATGAAATTTTTATCCCACCCTCGTTGCCAAACTGAAGGGGAGGAAGGCTATCCTCTACCCACTCTGGGTCCTTTCTGGCTGGGCTACAAATTAAACTGACATGAGACCAAATAGCAGGAGAAAATCAAACAAAGCTTTATAACATGTATACTTGGAAGAGACCAGGGAAACTGAGTTTCTCAACAAATGGCGGAGGTTTTCACCTTAAACAGCATATTCAGCAAAGGAGGGTGTTGGGGGTAGGGGAGTCAGCTATGGGAAATTACCAGAAACAAGAGTATGCAGATATAAGTCCTCACCTTCCACACTGATAAGAGATTCTAGAGATAAAGTCATCCCCCCTTCTTCCTGGTACAGAGAGGGAGATACCTCTACAAATGGAGATTTTCCTTATAAATGTAAATGTTTGGTCTTAGCAAGGACCCTCCTAGTCTATTGATAAAATAAGCAGGGTAAAAAGACGTATTTTGAGGTGGTCAATTTTGATCTCCTACAACATCATAGAGTATACTTACACAAACCTAGATGGTCTAGCCTACTACACCCTAGGGTATATGGTACTAATCTTATGAGACCACCATGGTATATGCAGTCTGTCGTTGACCGAAATGCTGTTATGTGGCACATGCCTGTATATAAAGAACTCTTACAACTCAACAATGAAAAAGACAACCCAATTTAAAAGTGGGCCAAGGATCTGAGTAGACATTTCTCCAAGAAAGATATATAAATGGCCAATAAGCACCTGAAAAGATGCTCAACATCATTAGTCATCAGGGAACTGAAAGTCAAAACCACAATGAGATAACACTTCACACCCAGTAAGATGGCTATAATCATAAAACGAAAAATAACAAGTGTTGGTGAGGATGCAGAGAAACTGGTACTTGCTGACAGGAAGGTAAAATGGTGTAGCTGCTGTGGAAGACAGTTTGGCAGTTCCTCAGAAGGTTATCATATGACCCAGCAATTCCATGCCAAAGAATATACCCAAGAGAACGGAAAACATATGTGTACATGAATGTTCCTAGCAGCATTAATCATAAGAGCTAAAAAGTAGAAACAGTCCAAATGTCCATCAACAGAGGAACAGATAAACAAGATGTGGTATAGTCATACAATGGGATGCTATTCAGCCCTAAAAGGAATGAAGTACCAATCCATACTACAACATGGATAAGGCTTGAAAACATGCTAAGTGAAAGAAGACAGACAAAAAAGGCCACATATTGTATGATTTGATTTATACGAAACATCCAGAATGTGCAAATCTATAGAGACAAACAGTAGATTAGTGGTTGCCAAGGGATGGTGGTAGGGGACAATTGCGACTGACTGCTAATAGAAACAGGTTTCTTTTGGGGGTGATAGAAATGTGCTGGAATTAGGTATTGGTGATGGTTGTACAACATTGTGAGTGTACTAAACACTGTTGAATTTATCATTTAAAATGGTTAAAATGGTGAATGACATGCTATGTGAATTTTACCTCAATTAAAAAATGGTAGGGGCCGGCAACGTGGCGTAGCGGTTAAGTGCACGCACTCTGCTGCTGGCGGCCCAGGTTCGGATCCTGGGCACGCACAGACACACCGCTTGTCAGGCCATGCTGTGGTGGAGTCCCATATAAAGTGGAGGAAGATCGGCACGGATGTTAGCTCAGGACCAGTCTTCCTCAGCAAAAAGAGGAGGATTGGCACGGATGTTAGCTCAGGGCTGATGTTCCTCACACACACACACACACAAAAATGGTAAAAAAAAAAAATCTGGTTCAAAAAATGTCAATGTCATGAAATACAAAGACAGACACAGGAACAATTCTAGATTCAAGGAGACCATGAAGACATGATGACTGAATACAAGGCACGATCTCAGATTTTCTTTTGCTATAAAGTAATTATTGGGACAATTTACAACAGGTCTGTACGTTAGATAATAATATTGTTTCAATGTTAATTTTCTAATTTTCATACTTGTATTTGGTTAAATAAGAGAATTCCTTGTTTTAAGAAACACACACTGAAGTCTTTAGGAGTAAATAGGCATCATGTTTGCAACCTAGTGTTAAACAGTCAGAAAAAATTTCATATATGCGTGTGTGTGTGTGTATGTGTGTGGAGACACAAACAGAGAAGGACAACACCAATGGAGTAACATGTTAATATGTGGGGAGTCTAGATGAAGGGCATTAAAAAATTTTTTTATACTTGTCACTTTTCTGTTAAGTCTAAAATTATGTCAAAAAAACAAAAAACATTTTTCTAAAAAATGAGATGGCACATGTAAATTGCTTAGCATGCTGAGTGCCTGGCATAGAGGAAGAGTTCAATGAATATAACTCACCAACTTATTGTCGATGTTACTGTTAACGTTAGAGGTTGTCCAGGTTAACCTCCCCTTGGGAAAGTTGGGGAAACTGAGGCCAGGAGAGGGCAGGAAGCCGCCAGCCTGAGGTCATGCAGTAATGGTGTGGGATGTCCTGTACCTCCCAGGGCACCAGGAAGGGTTCTTGGTATAGCAGGTGCCAACCAGGAGGCGTCCGCCCTCCTCATCCCTGAGGGCAGGGCTGGCATGTCCTGGGCCCTAGGCTGTCCTGTCTCCGGACTGTGAGGGCTGTGACCCTTGAGCCAACCAATCATTTCAGTAAGGACACACTGGGCGGGGCCTGGACAGAAGCAGCAAATGCTCAAGGAACAACATTCATTCATTCATTCATTCACTCATTCATCTCACACCTATTCCCTAAGCAGTTAGGTGACACCAGGCCCTGTCCTCAGGGGTTCCCAGGCTAGAAAGAGTCAGACACAGACATTAAGCAAATGGTCCACCAGATAAGCATATAATTACACTGTGGGAATGCCTCGGAGGAAAAGAAGAGGGCTTACGGGACAACCCAGGTCTGAAGGATGAGTGGGCTAACCCCGCAGAGGAGGAACAGCGTGTACAAAGGCCTCAGGTGGGAGCAGCCAAGGGCCTTACGGCCTCCAGGTGAGGTCAGGGCTGCCCTCCCAGGAGCGGCGGCTGCTCCTGCTCCAGTCAGGAACTAGGAGGGACTCAACAGCATTTACTAAAGGAGTAAGAGATGCCTCAGCATCCCACTCATCTGGCATTTCCTCCCTCCACCTGTCCTCTCCCTACTCAGGCGTGAGGGCTCTGAACAGTGCCGGGCTGAACAACCCCAAGGAGCTGCCCCCTCAGCTGATGGTGCCAGCTCCTGCCAGGTGGGAGGGGATGGGAGAGGCTGACAGCCCAGCTGGGTGCAGGGGTAGAGGGCCCTGGGCAGGACCCCCTGCTGGATACCTGAGAGGCCAGCCACGGGTGGGGCAGGTTGACCAGAGGAGAGTTCTGGGACATGCCAGGCTCATGAGTTGTCCCAGCCCGGAGCTTGGCATTGAGCTCAGTGATTATAAATAACTCTTCTGGTGCCTGGGCCAGCGCAAGGCCAGGGCCCGGGGAGACTCCTGTGGCGACAGCTGCAGCCCAGCCCCCTGCATCCTTGCCCCCTTCCTGTAGCCTTGACGCTGGGGGCTCCAGCCCTGGAGGACAGAGCTGCCCACGGAAAGCCTCACAAATCGAGGAACCCAGAAGTCTCTGCCCACATCTCATCACCTCCAGAGCCGGTGGGGGAGTAGAGGGCTCCCTTCTTACCCCCTACCCTTACACCAAGGGCCCAAGGAGGGACCCCCCCCCCATGCAGGGTCATAGACACCCCAACCACAGGGAACAGCATGTACACACACGCCGATTCCAGGACCCTGGAGAAGGTCCCGCTGCTGGCCTCCGCCGCCTCCGCCACCTCCGCCACCACCACCACCCCTACGAGCCCCCCACCCCTCCCCC